TTTGAAAAATCACTGGGCAGGAAATATCCGAAAAAAGTTGTCCATCTATGAGGAGTTTGTTCACAATCGTTTCTTCCACATAACTAGCCTCCCTCATTCACACATTTTTGACACTTTGCCAGCCTCATTTGTCTCACTGGGCCAAGGACGTCGAAACAACAAAACATTTTCCTCGGAAATGTGTCAATAGCGAGAAGAAAACGGTTTTATAGGGACCAATCTTCTTGAATGGGTGGAATGATTGGCAGTTCTATGTCAGGGAAGGGGGGTGTTAATTGCCGCTTAAAACGGAAAAAAGTCTAAAGGGACACTTGCATAGTTTTTGATTTGAAGTCCTTTCACGAAAAAAGCTTACAGTCGATAGATGTGGGAGGCTACAAATAAGCGAAAATTGTTTTAACTGACCCTCTTTTTTATAATTAGAAACCAAATAGTTTTTCGGAATTTCTCCATCTTTTGGAATGCATATAAGATAAGGGGTGGACAGAAAATAAAATTGAAAAATAATTCAGACATGATCCAAATCAAAATTTTATTTTCTTCCAGCAAGCAGTTTTAGCCAAGCTCGTGAATCTTGTATGCTTGTTTAAATTTCATGATTACTCAATTTTTGTGTATAATGGGTAAAAACAACAAAGGGGGAACTAGAGATTGGTAATCGAATATCGATATCGTTTTCGAGGAGCAAATTTGGTTTTCTTATTTTTTGTTCGTTATTTTCAATTTCATTTTGTGATTCAAGTTTACTATAAAGTTGAGCTTGCAATCTGTTCTTGTCTATTTTTCTTTCAAAATCAAAAATAAAGAATCTAGTGATTATATTTTCTAAATTGAGCCGTAACGTCCATTTTCTCCCCAATTTTCGAAAATTCCAGAGTTGAGCACACTTGCTGCAATCTGTTTAACCCACGCCCACCACATACCATACCAACACATGTTGGTAACGATTGCTTTATCTACGAGTTACCCGATGGATCTACCCATCCCAAACAACCGTCAGGAACAGGCGACGACCCACCCTACACCGTTTTGAAGGTCTGTAGAACGGTAAATATGTGGATATTTTCATTAATTTTGAACTTTTTCAGAGCGCCGCTGACATTCCAGAACAAATCGATGGAATTTCGGGCTATCGTCTGCGGCTTTACCTTCTCAAAAACAAAGCGCCACCGACCCTTTTAGTCAAAGGAATCGAGCGAAGGCTGTGGGTTTCAAAATTAATTGATTTGATACGAAATTCCCCATTCTATTTCTTTTTCGAAAAATGTTATTTCTAGCGATGGCTACCGTGTGACCATTTGCCGGCCACGTTGCACTTCATACGAAGCCGTAGATAAGGATCCCGAGGTACATCACTTAGCTCCTCAAGGCATTTTTCTCACGAAAACTGGTCCCCATGTGAAAATCTGAGCAGCACCGGTTTAGTACTACAACGACTGAGCGCTCGAATGCCATTCGTGTTGGTGCAGACCATCGCAAAATTGGGAGTTCGAAATTCGAACTAGAGCTCCAGATATAGACAAAATTAGTGGTTTTCCCGAGTTTTTGCAATCTTGTGACATATATTTTTCAATCAACATTTGTTCCATTTCTTCGGGTGACTTATTTTGTTTGATCCGGTGATATTTGAAGTGATAGTATCTATCAAACTTATGACAATTTCACTGATTTGCAAATAAATCGTGAGTCAACGAGCTGTAATTTATTGGGGACAAACATCTTCAAAAAGAATCTTGTAGCTAGTAATGAGCATGCAACTAGTGTGGCAGATTTTCATAGCAATTTGTAGATAGGTCACGGGGACCAGTTCTCGTGTTTGTTTATACATGGTGGTGGATGGTCTTTGGAAACTTTCGCAAGACTGTAAAATCAGTCTGCAAGATAAAAACAATTGAGTTTCAGAACGATGAGTGGAAGGCAATTAGTTGGAGTAGCTGGACGAGTTCTACGTGAGTGCTTCTTTTCCTTTTTTATTCCATCTCAAAACGTACAACCGAATTCTAGTTGGACCACATGGGCAAGAAGTGTCTGGGGTAATTTAAATAACGTTCAAAACCGACAGCGGATAGCAGAGACATCCGTACCCGGAGCAGTCGCGGATAAAGGTGACATAGAAAATAGCCATTTACCCAAATATCTACTGTATCCTTGATGTTTAGCCACCCAACCAAATCCGCAGGACATCAACATAAATGTGAATGCCAGCGGAAACAACAATAACGTTTTCCAAAGAGAAG